GGATCTCTGAGTCCAAGACCACCACCCTGGGCTACCGGAGAGTGAATCAGAGCTCATGCCTTTAATCCCAGGATTTGCCAGGTATAAAAGGCAGAGGCATTCAGTCTGAGAATTAGTCTCTAGTCACACTGAGGAGAGGATAGCAGTTTGAGTGACTCTGAGGAGCAGTGGAGTTGGGAGCAATTTGAGGATCACCCCTTTGATCTGAACATAGGTAGAAGTAAGAGCTAGTGGCCGGCTCTGCTTTGTTTTCTGATCCCCAGCTTGAAGCCTGAACCCCAATATCTGTCTCTGGGTAGGTTATTAATCATGCTACAGCCATGCACATGAACATGTGCACATACAAAGAGAAAATAAATAAAATGTTAAAAATAATTTGAAAATAACTGTAGAAATGTGTTTGTAGTTCAAACTTCGAATGTGCTGGGGGATGACTTTGCAAAAGCAGGCCACTCTGTAATTGGCACTGGAGGTGGCCAGAACATGCCACCCCAATATATGCCTACCTGGTACAAGGACTGTTTGGAGCTAAAAGCTGGTGCCTAATTTCTCTGCCCTCCCTGTTTGCCTAAGACAAAGCCTATACACCCTTTCTCCTGGAGCAACCTTAGAAGACTGTTGTGTCCCTCATCAGCCTGCAGGGGGCATCAGAGTGTGCCATACGGCAAAGCTTCAGCAACCAGGCCTCCCTTGCCCACAAGATTCCACCCCTGAGAATCCAAAGTCCTCTTCCTTGTCTGGGCACTTCTCTGGGAATTTTTCACTCCCAAGGAATCCCACATGTATGGCATGCACTTAGCCATAAACTCCTGCTGGTTTTTCTCTTGTTCACCTGTCTCTTCCAACTGAGAACTTATGGGGCTGGAGCTGGGGAGATGGCTCAGAGGGTAATGCACTTGCTTGCCCTTGCCATGAAAGTGTGAAGACTTGATTGAATCCCCAGAGCTCACATAAAGCCTGGCATGGTAGTACATGTCTGTAAAACCAGAGCCACAGGCAAATAAAAGGCAGAGAATGGCCAGAAGCAGGAAACACAAAATACCCTGTTTCAACTGAGATGGAAGGTAAAGACTGACAGGGGAGGTGTCCCCTGACCTCCATAAATAAATAAATAAATAAATAGCAACATAACATTACATTCTAAGTGTAAGTCAGAAGTTACTTCAGGAAATGCCTTAAACAACCCCAGCAAAGGAAACTCATTACCAAACCAAGCCTGTCTATTCATCATTCAAAAAGAGAGCCCAAAGAATCAGGGTGAGTAGTTAGATCAAGGAAACAATTTACTCAGGCATGGAGAGATGGCTCAGCAGCTAAAAGCCCTTGATGCTTTTGCAGAAAACCAAGGTTCAGTTCCCAGGACATGCAGAACAGCCCAACCAAGTTGAATAAAAGAGTAGAAAAAATCATAATGATTTTAGTAAGTTTTTTTAAATTATTCGTGTGTATCTATGTGCACTTCCTTGTCTGCGCATGTATCACATGGGTGCAGTACCCACAGAGGCCAAAAGAGAGCCTAAGATCTCCTGGAACTGTAGTGATAAGAATCAAATCCAGGCCCTCTGCAAGAACAGCAAGCACTCTTAGCCAATGAGCCATTTATCCAGCTCCCTAAGTAACTTTCTGATTATCTATTGGGTTCATTCCTAGTGCACACATGTCCCTTGGGCCTGGGTTAGACACACATGCTTGAAACCTGGAAAATATCTCAGCCACTCCTATCTTGACACCTTTTGGCTTGAAGAAAGAAGAAAGATTAGAGGAGTTTAAGTGCAAGGCATTTTTACCACTTAATATACCCAAGTACATATTAAGTGACTGACATGTCTACAATCTGACCTAAAAGTTAGGGTAGCAAAGGGACAGACACAACACAAATGCAGAAACACCCAGCTTTGTCACCTTGTTTTACTCACCCAACAGACATCTACGCAGACCCAGGAGAAAAGTGAGGGCTTTAAACCAAAGTGGCTTTCAAGTCCCTGAAAAGTAACTCTAGCAACCTTCATTATCATGACACACAGCCTGCATACACATGCACACACAGGCTGGGGAGATGAATGACTTAGTGGTTAGTGCCACAAAAATACAACAACTAGAGTTCAGACCCCAAGAGCCCAGTGGGTGGGTGTGATGGTTTGAATAGGTATGGGCCCCATGGACTCATGTGTCTGAATGGTTGGCCTATAGGTAGTGGCACTATTAGGAGGTGTGGCCTTGTTGGAGGAAGTGTGTCACTGTGGTGGTGGGCTTTAAGGTCTCATATGCTCAAGCTATGCCCATTGTGAGAGACAGTTTACTTCCTGTTGCCTATGGATCAAAATATAGAACTCTCAGCAACCACTCCAGCACTATGTCTGCCTACATGCTGCCATGCTCCTCAATAATGGGCTAAACCTTTGAAACGGTAAGCTAGCTCCAATGAAATGTTTTCCTATATAAGAGTTGCTGTGGTGGGCTGGAGAGATGGCTCAGAGGTTAAGAGCACTGACTGCTCTTCCAGAGGTCCTGAGTTCAATTCCCAGCAACCACATGGTGGCTCACAACCATCTGTAATGAGATCCAGTGACCTCTTCTGGTGTGCAAGCATGCATGTAGATAACTGTATACATAATAAATAAAATCTAAAAAAAAAAGTACTTTTAAAAAAAAAGAGTTGCTGTGGTCATGGTGTCTCTTCACAGCAATAGAAATCCTAACTAAGACAGTGGGCATGTTATAACCCCAACCTCAGAAGGCAGATACCCCATGTATCTGCACTGAGCTGGCTAATAAAACCAGTCTTGTCAGGGAACTCTGGATTTGACTGAGACTCTGCACCTCCATGAATAAGGTGGAAGAGCAACAGAGGATGATTCCTGATATCAACCTTAGGCTTCCTCATGCATGCATGCATGTGCGAGCACACACACACACACACACACACACACACACACACACACACACACACGTGCAAAAATGGAAAAACACAATAGTAAAAATATAGACATAGTTTTCAATTCCTGGAACTAAATATTAAAAACTGCACTGTACTCTATATCAATTTTACTTCACTTAAAAGAACAAAGGCACATGCCAGAGACTGTATCAGATGACTTTGGACTGCTTCAGTAGTGAAGAGTAATAAGGCTGTCTCAGGATGAGGGCTGCATTTCTGCCCTCTGCACAATCAGAACAATAAACTAGCACCACCAGAAGACTTCCATTTCTGAGCCAGTGCAACGGCTTGGCTGGTAAAAGCACCTGCTTCCAAGCCTGATGACCTGAGTTCTATCCCAGGCCCCTCATGGTGGAAGGTGAAACTGTCCCCTGACTTGCACACTGCTGCACAAGCATCTACCCACCCCACCCCACAAGCATATACAGATGCACATACAATGAGTAAACATGAAAGATGTAAAGCATGCCATCTCTGTGACCACAGTGATCCAGTCTCTCCTGATTTCTTCAGTTCCCTGCTGCCACAGCCACACTCCCCAGCAAGGCTCCTGTGTGCTGGGAGCTACACTTCACTTCCTTGCTATTCAGTCTCCAAAGACATAAACTCACTACAGGTAGACTTGACTTTCTTTGTGTGTATGCACATGTTTATATATGCATATGTGTCTGTGGAGAGCAGATGTCAACATTGGATATCTTCCTCTATCCCTCTCCACTTTATTTCTTAAGATAGAATTCTCACTGTACCTGGAGCTCATCAATTCTGTTAGACAGGTGTAAGGAGCAAAGGAAGTCCAGAGTGAGCCAAGTCCCGAGTAAATGTGTATTTTGACATAAGCAAGGCCTGTTAATGACTCCAAGATCAATTGGTCCATGGTAAATTGGCAAAACCATTAGCCTATGGGCCAGGCTCAAGAGGGATGGCCAAGCTTGGGCATCTGAATATGAGTGATTGTGAATCAGTGCATGCAAACATTAGCAAGTGTGTTTTCCTCCTCCCAGAAGCTTATAGCCTGGGACTGCTTGCCTACAGAGACCTCCTAACCAGACTAGCCAACCCCCACCCCATCCCTTGCTGGACCAAATAAACACACTGAGGTTCCAGACAGCAGAGGTGTCAGTTAGATAATCCCACCCAATCTCATTGTCTGTGCTTCACTTCACTCCCTTGCAATCCCTAGCCAGGGCTCTGGGACCCAAGTTATGTGGGATGAGGCAGGCAGGCTAGACAGTGAGCCCCAGGGATGCTCTGTCTCCACCTCCCCAGTGAGATCATAGGTACACACCTCCATTCCTTTATTACATACTTCTGGGAGATCAAACACAAGGCCTCCTCAGGCTTGTGTGACAGGCACTTGACAGTCACCTCCCCTGCAAACACAAGTCCTCCTCACACCTGTGTGGCAGGCACTTGACAGTCACCTCCCCTGCAAACACAAGTCCTCCTCACACTTGTGTGGCAAGCACTTGAGTCACCTCCCCTGCAGACACATGTCCTCCTCACACTTGTGTGACAGGAACCTGACAGTCACCTCCCCTGAAAACACAAGTCCTCCTCACACTTGTGTGACAGGCACCTGACAGTCACTTCCCCTGCCTTGGACCTTAGTTGGTTTGAGGCTAAACATGATGGCTATAACTCCTGGTGAATATGCTTACACTCACTATTCACTAACAAACTGTGGCAGCTAGTGACAGGGCCCAGGACACAAGCCAGTCTGGCCCCTGTTAGCACCAGCTTCCAAACTACTTGTGGACTGGGGAAGAACTGCTTCAGTGCTTTTCTTGGTTGATTTTTTTTTAATTTAAGCATAAATATTGCTATGTAGTCCAGGCTAGCCTAAAAGTCACTATATGGCCTAGGCCTAAAACTTGCTAGATAACCCAAGCTAGCTCTGCCATCATGACTGTCCTGGCTCTATCCTGAGTTCTGGGATTACAGGTGTGCACCAGTAGGCCCAGTCTAATTTTGTACTTTTCACAGATGATTATTAACATCACAGTCAGATGTTTTTCATTGTCAAAATACAAATGAAATAAAACAACTATACTTCGCATACCTTGCTTTAGAAATATTATAAATTCCTTCACAGTTTGGTCCAAATTAACTCTATGATACACTACAGGTTTGAAATTTCGATGCTCAAATGAACGGATGAGGCGAACTGTGACGGTTGCTTCCTCGGCAGCCATGTGGAGAGAATACCTGTGGTAAGACACATGGATAAAGTGCATAAAGACATTGCTGCAAAAGACTCAGCAGAGTTGTTCAGATCCACAAAAGCTGGACACATATGGCAGCCTTCTGCAATCCCAGAGCTTGGGAATCAGAGACGAGAGAGCCTGGGGCAATCTGGCTGGCAAGACTAGCCATAATTGGCAGCTCTGCCTCAATCAATAAAGTAGATTCTGACTGAGAAAGGCATTCATTGCCAACCTCAGGGCTCCTCCACACACATACATGTGCACCCAAACACACATGCACACACACTACACATACATACACACATTAAAATAAATAAAATTCAAATAAAAGTTATTTCTTGGGCCTAGAGAGATGGCTCAGAGGTTAAGAGCACTGATTCCTCTTCCATACGTCCTGAGTTCAATTCCCAGCAACCACATGGTGGCTCACAACTATCCGTTATGAGACTTGGTGCCCTCTTTTGGTGTACAGATATACACGGAAGCAGAATGTTGTATACATAATAAATAAAATCTTTTTTAAAAAGTTATTTCTTAGTCAATAGCAGGGGCTTTAATAATTGGCATCATTTTATGTCTTAAGCAAGATATTACATATAGTGATAGTGTGTTATTTTTATGCCTTTCAATTTGTCCAAAATAAGTCCATAACACACAAATAAGTCACATAAACTTGGCTTTAAAAGTCTCTCTGAATAACTGAACTCTTGTCCAACTGTTTTACTAAGTTTGGGAAAAAACGCAGCACATTAAGCATGAAAAGCCAGAGAGTTTGCTGTTTGAATGCATCAAATAATTTATAATTAAAATTAACATATAGCTATAATGAAATGGCTTCTATAAAACCAGAAATAGATTTTCCCCATAAAATAAAGTAAGGGTTCATCTAATCTGTCTCATGGCTAATAAGCCTAATAAATCTTTTGGTAATTCCAATATTGGTTATTATAGCATTCCTCATTACCTCCTTCATAATTCTCCTCAGAAAAACATGGTTCCAAAAACTACCAAACAATAGTTCAACAAACATCTACAAAATAAAAAATTTCAACATACTGAGGCACTTAATATTATTGGCACAATCCATGGTTTCAGGGATCTTGTGATCAAATATTCCAAACCTCTTTTGCATGCTGGGGCACAGTCTCAGAGCCTGACATATCCTCTGCCAGCACTCTTCCTGTTTGTGTTCATACATGAGTGAGAGCACAGGCGCATGCATGTTGCATGATTGGCGGAGGTAAGAAGACAAAGGCGCACGTGTTGTGGTGGTTTAAATAGGAATGGCCTCCAGAGGTTCACATATTTGAATGCTTGGTCATTAGGAAGTGGCACTGTTAGGAGGTGTGGCCTTGTTGGAGGAAGTGTGTCACTACCGGTGGGCTTTAGGGTTTCAAATGTTCGAGAGGCCTAGTGTCTCTCTTCCTGCTGCCTGAGGATCCAAATGTAGAACTCTCAAACTACTTCTTGAGAACCATGTCTGCCTGTGTGCTGCCATACTTTGCAGTGATGACAATGGACTAACTCTCTGAACTGTAAGCCAGCCCCAATTATAAATGCTCTCCTTTATAAGAGTTGCGGTGGTTGTGGTCTCTCTTCACAGAAGACGATTCCGACTAAGACAGATGCCTTCTACTTTTTTTTTGTTTAGGGCAAACAAAACTCATGTCCCAAACTGACTGAGCCATCTCTCCCGCCCAGGTTTTCATTCTCATCACATTTATTTATTTATTTATTTATTTATTTATTTATTTATGATACATTTGGGTGAACTGTGCATGGAACATGTGGAGGTCAGAGTACAACTGGTGGGAGTCAGTTCTCTCTTTCCACCAGGTGGATCAAACTCAGTTTTTGCAGCAAGCACCTTTGCCCATTGAGCCAGCCAGCCAGCCCATGCTCTGGATCTTGACTGCAATCTTATTCATATTTATCTATACATAATAAAAATGCATAAAATAAATGCATGCACACATAGACATGCCTAGACATACACACACAAGTGCATATAAAACTAATGAAATCGAAACTGAAATCATAGATCGTGCCAACAGCAGTTGTTTAGCCATGAAAACAGACTACATGCAAGCCAGGTACCACCACCAGGGGGGACACTGGGTGAGAGGTATAGGGACTCTTATCTGCAGTATTTCTTATGATTTAATATAAAATTAGAACTATCTCAAAGTAAAAAGTTTCTAAAAATTATCATTCAGTGCGGTGGTTTGAAAGAAAATGGTCCGTAGGGAGTAGCACTATTAGGAGGTTAGCCTTGTTGAAGTATGTGTGGCCTTGTTGGAGGAAGCATGTCACTGTGGGAGTGGGCTTTGAGGTTTCTTTTGTTCAAGCTTCAATCGGTGCAACACTGAGACTACTTCCTGTTGCCTGTAGGTCAAGATGTAGGATACCTAGCTCCTTCTCCAGTACCATGTCTGTGCACCGCCATGGCCTGCCATGATGATAATGGACTGCACCTCTGAAAATGTAAGCCACTCCAATTAAATGTGTTTCCTTTACAAGGGTTGCTGTGGTCACGGTGTCTTTTCACAGCGATAGAAACCCTAACTAAGACATTCAGAAAAGCCTGATGAAATTATGAATGGAGGGAATGCATGGGTTAACAGAGTACTAAAACAATCAGGTAAGAGACTGGCAGAGACCTCAGAACAGAGACACCGAAGCAGCCATTGGCTGACAGCATCTAAATGCACCAGCTAATTATAATGGATGCATCAAGCCCAGAACTTCCAGTGTAACTGCCATGACACAGTGTGAAGCCAAGCTCAGAGACACCAGAAGCTAAGAGAGCCTACGGGAGGCATGGCCTGGTTTCTTCAGAAAACTCACAAGAAATAAAGAAGGCAGTCTAGGGAGATTGCTCAGTGGGTAAAATTGCTTACTGTCCAAGTGTGAGAACTGAGTTCAGCTCCTCAGAACACATAGAAAGCCAGACTTGGTAGAGAAAATCTATAATTCCAGTGCTTCTGTGAAGAGATGGAAAGTAGAGACATGAGAATCCCAGAAGCTTGCAAGCCAGATAGCCTGTCATACAGAGAAGGAACAACATGGAACTCTGGATCAATAACATGGTGGGAGGGGCTGGAGAGATGGCTCAGCAGTTAGGAGCACTCACTGCTCTTACAGAGGACCTGGGTTCGATTCCCAGCACTCATGTCAGGCAGCTCACAAACACCTGTGATTCTAGCTCCAGAGGATCCAATACCCTCTTCTGGCTTCATGTACACCAGTGGTTCTCAACCTTTCTAATGCTGTGCTCCTTTAATATAGTCCCTCATGTTGTGGTGACCCCCAGCTATAAAGTTATTTTCATTGCTACTTCATAACTATAATTTTGCTAGTTATGAATCATAATGTAAATATCTGTGTTTTCCAATGGTCTTAGGTGACCCCTGACCAGAGTTCCATTCTAATACCCACATCGGCAGCTCACAAACACCTGTAACTCCAGCTTCATGGGATCCAGTATCCTCTTCTGTCCTACTTGGTACCTGTACACATGGGGCGCACACAGACACAGACATATAAGTAAATCCTTAAAAATAAATAAAATAATTACCAAAGTGTGGAAGGTGAGGACCAACCCCTGAGGTTGTTCTCTGATGTCCACAAGCACACCATGCATGTATGCAACTTCATTCACACACATGACGACACACACACACACACACACACACACACACACACACACAATACACACTAAGAGTGGCAGTCATGTATCTGGACTGATATGGTTAGATGTGGGTTGGCCCCCAGTGTAGTGGTATGAAGGACTGGCAGACCCTTCAAAAGGTGGGAACCTTATCTGGAGACGGGGCTCAGTGGTAGAGCACATGCTCAGAATGAAGGGGGGCCCTGGGCTCAATTCCTAGGATCATGTGTTCATATTCTAGCTACATACTGAACCACCGCAATATATCCAAACAGTATTCAGTGGTTGGGGCACCAGAATCAGGTCACATGCCTGGAAGGAGTCTGAACCTGCCCGCCCAGCGCCGAAAGCCTCCCACACTCAGCCCAGCCTGGGAGGACTCATCATCACGATCCAAGTCTCCGTGTACCCTTCCGGCTACAATGACAGCTCACAGCTTCCCACACATTCACCGAGTTTGTGCCACACTCTCCCACTGTCAGTCTCCTCACCCTCCAACAATGGGACCATTCAGGAAGCAGATCTGAGATTCCCAGAGCAGTACAGATTCAATCTCAGTGCCTCCCCGCTCAGGCTGGGCTCGGGACCTGTCTCTCCCAGGAGCTGCAGGGTTCCTTACAGCTATAGGCCTGCTTTCTTTGGGGCTAACATGATGTGCTGCAGAGGCTCCAGGAATGCAGGGCTGATAAGCAGGGCTGAGAACAACACGCATTCCCCAGGAGACACTAGCAGAGCAGTCCTGCAACAGCACAGGGCCACAGGAGAGGTATGCAAGCCAAGAGTGGTACAGCGCCTGCCTGGCATGTATGGGGCTGGACCCCAGCACCCCAAAACGCATCGGAGAGGGAGGGAGGGGTGAAGGAAGGACATACAGGAAGGAGATAGAGAACAGGGGAGGGAAAGAGGATAAGAAAGGAGGAGAGGAAGGAGATCACAGAGGAAGGAGAAAAGGAGATGAGACAAAGAAACCTTATTGTTTCCCAACAACAACAACAATTTAAAACCAAAATTAATATTTGAATTCTATAACATGTAACATTCAACAGCAACTCAGTATCTGAAGTTGAACTTAGAGTGGGCACACCCTAATGTACAGGCTTGGGCTGGACTTTGAAAAGTGAGAGTGCCTGGGGCTTAGGAAGGTCTTTAAATCTCCCATCTACAAAACCTGTTCCGGCTGGTGCCTTCTAGAGCACCCAATTCCCTGGTGGCCACATCACTGCAGCCCAGATACTCAGCAACCCCTCCAAAGCCCTCCCTTGGAACTGAGGGCCACACTGCCTCAGGGCTAGGGGTTTAGTGTTACTAGAGCCCCAAGGCATCCAGACTCCAGTCCTCTGAGCAGTACAAATTCAGGAACCAAGGAAAGCAGGGACAGGCTGCTACAACATTCCAGGACTTTGCAACTTCCCAAGATGGCGCCTTTCCACCTGGCAGAGTTCCTAGTGGAACAGCTATGCACCCAGCAAGGCTGGCTCCTGAGGCAAGAAAAGCAGCATAGCACATGAAACATTCCCACAAACATGGAAAACACATGTTCACATGACACTGGGTTGTGGGCTTTATACTGATCCATATCAGCTCAAGAGAAACATGTAACTACGGTTGATTTTGGCTATTTGTGCATGTAGTTTGTGTCTACAAAGTTGGCTATCAACAATGAATTACGACCCATAAACCCCTGCTAAGACAAACACAGGGTCAGGTTCCTAGGAACCATGTTCTGTGCATGTTTGTAAGTTAACATTGAATTCACAGATGATGACACTGACTGTGTGTGGAAAAAAAGCTGTCTACCATACCTGTTTGCTCTGTAAGGTATACGTGGCCTTCTCACACTTATGAACACTCAATGACTCAGATCTACAGCTGGGGGTATTATCTATAGCAAAAGACAGGGCCATTGAGATGGTTCTGCCAGTTGAAGACGCTTGCTGTGAAAGCCTGAAGACTGAATTTCAATCCCAGAACCCAAGTGAAGATAAAAGGGAAAGCTGTCCAGGACAACCAGGGCTGGGCAGAGAAACCCTGTCTCAAAAATAAAAAAGGGTGGGAGGACTGATTCCACACAGTTGCTCTCTGGGCCTCTGTATGCACACTGTGACACATTTATGACCCTCATACACAATAGTACTAACTTTTTAAAAGTTAAAAACAAAACAAAAACGTAAAAGATGGGGACAGGAGATGGTTCCATTGGCAAAACGATTACCTTATCAGCATCAGAATCTGATTTTGGACCACTAAAATCTACATAAAAAGCCAGCCCAGGGGCTGGTAAGGTGGCTTAGCCAACTAAACGCCCTTACCAGTGAGCGCAACAACCTCAGATTGAGTCTTCTAACCTCCAGTGTGTACCCCCACCACATACATATAGAGATAATTTTTAAATAAAAAAATATATAGTTGGGGCTGGGCTCTAGGGACTCACATAGTGAAGGCGAAGAACCAACTCCTCAAGCTGTCCTTGGACCTCCACATATGTGCTATGGCAGATGCACATACACAAATATAATTTTTAAAAATTAAGGAGTCAACTTAGAAGTGATTCTTGGAAGGAAGGAAAGAAGGGAGGAAGGAAGGAAGGAAGGAAGGAAGGAAGGAAGGAAGGAAGGAAGGAAGGAAGGAAGGCCAGCACAGTGGTACATGCCTGTAAGTCCAGTGGCAATATGGTAGGAAATGCAAATCAAACTCCACTGAGAGTACATCTTACCCCAGTCAGAATGGCTGTCATCACACACGTGCAAACACACACACACACACACACACCACACCACACCATACACACACACACGCTGGTGAGGATGTGGGGCCATTACAGTCCAGACACTATGAAAATAAGAATGGAGGGTTCCCAAAACAAACCCCCAAACACCCTAGAAGTAGCATTTCCATATGACCTGAAAGAAGCAAGGTCACCATTCAACCCAGATACTCATATACCATGCTTACTGCAGTACCACTCACAACAGGGAATTATAGAATCAGCAGTGTGTGTGTGGTGTATGTCTTGTGATGGTGTGATGTGTGTGTGTGTGTGTGTGTGTGTGTGTGTGTATGTGATTTAGTCACAAAAGAGTGACAATATATCTTTTGCAGGCATATGGATACAATGGGAGATACTGTGTTAAGCAATATCTCTGAGGATAGTGATTTAGAGCTATGTTTCCCACCCAGTGGGTCACAACCCCTTTGAGAGAAACAAATGGCCCTTTCACAGGGGTCACCTAAGACAATCAGAAAACACAGATATTTACATTATAATTCATAACAGGAGTAAAAGTACAGTTATAAAGTAGCATCAAAAATATTGTTATGGTTGGAGGCCACCACAACATGAGGACCTGTATTAAAGGGCCAAAGCATTAGGAAGGTTGAGAACAACTGGTCTAGAGTCTTTCACGTGTACATTCAAGACTGGTATAGCTGGAGGATCACTGTTTTTAACTGAGAAACCTCCATACTGATTGCTGCAGTGGCTGCACAAGTTCACTTTCCCACGGGGGTAGGGGGAGGAAATAATGGTTGTTTTTTTCCCCACATGCTCATCAGCACTGGCTGCCAGTTATCTTCTTGACTAAAGTGAGATAGAATCTCAGACTTCTTTCTACCAAGTAATTCCTGGGCATTGAACTCGTGATTGAACTCGTGTCTTCAGGCTTGGCAGCAAGTGCCTTGATCTGCTGAGCCAGCTCAGCACCCCATGAGACAGAATATAAATGCAGCTTTAATTACATTTCCCTGAAGGTTAAAGTTATTGGCTATTTTTTTCCAAATATATACTGGCCACAAATATCAATTCTTTTGAGCACCATTTCAGTTCTTTAAGACATGTATTTATCAGGTGATTTGCTTTTTCTGGTACTTTCTCCAGTCATTTCTGTGTTCTACATGTCATTCCCCTGTCTGGTATTGGTAAGGATGTTTGTTTTTTCCCAATTCTGAAGCCTTAGCTATTTCCTCTGCTATCCTAAATTTATCTCATCTTACCTGTCAATTCTTAGGACTATTTCCTATGCTCCTTTTTCAGATGCCTACATCTGTATCATTTTTAAGTGCAATGGTAGAGAAGGTTAGATGTATCAGATCCCCTGGAACTGCAGTTACAAGCTTTTATGAGCTGCTAGACGCGGGTGCTGGGAACTGAACTCAGGTCCTCTGTAAGATACACACTCTTCACTGACCATCTCCCAAGCCCCTGCTTGTATCCCAAAAAAGTTCTTCATCTAGCATTCTCTAAGTTTTAGGCTGTACACTGAGGTTTGTGCAGGGTGAGAGCTGTGTGTTTGGTTTTATTGTCTTCCTGTGGAGATC